TACTAAGTTGTCTTATTAGTAGCAGACGCTTCTATAATACGGTTCAAATATTACTAAGTTGTCTTATTAGTAGCAGACGCTTCTATAATACGGTTCAAATATCACTAAGGTGATATTTGAACCGTATTATAGAAGCGCCTGCTACTAATAAGACAACCAAGTTGTCTTATTAGTAGCAGGCGCTTCTACAAAAAAAACGGTTCAAATATCACTATATTTTCGTCTGAGAATTATTACGGTCATTGTCCTCCTTGATGTGTTTTACAGATTTTAATGTTAAACATAGCATTGGTACTATATTTAAATGTATCTTGTCGTGTTTTCATTATTGATAGATATTATTCCGTCCCCCTGGTGGGACAGCAGTAATTCAAAGGACTTACAACGCTAACATTCAGAGCTCAATTTCCCGCGGTGGACACAACAGAGAGCCCACAGTGGCTTTATTCTCAAATACTTAATAAGCTAAATTGAATTGTGTTCAAAATGGACTACAAACTTCAGAGAAATGTTTAATTCTTATTTTTTTATTTCCCCCTGACGTTTTGACTTACGCATTTTTCGAGGCTCTTTAAACGTCACAGGTTACAAGAAATAAGTCGAAACGTCAGGTAAAAAAAAAAATCATTTCTCTGAAATTGTTTGTTGTCTTTCTTGAATATGGTTTCCGTCCTTCAGTCAACTGTGCCTGTGAACTCATAACGCTGAAATCAGATTTTGATACCCGCCGTGGACAGAGCCCAGAGAGCCCGTTGTGTAGCTTTGTATTTAACAAGAAACAAACAAAAATAACATTCTTGCAATATGATTTGTACTTAACAGGACACAAACAAAAATAACATTTTTGCAATATGGTTTGTACTGAACAGGACACAAACAAAAATAACATTCTTGCAATATGGTTTGTACTTAACAGCAAACAAACAAAAATAACATTCTTGCAATATGGTTTGTACTTAACAGGACACATACAAAAATAACATTCGATGACGAGGAACCCACTTTGAGACTAATAATGGCTGGAGACGGCTTGAATGGGTAATGAAGAAAAACTTTAATATAAGTCAACATAACAGCAAATGTACAACGTTTCGACAAGGTTTTGTCGTACCTGATGATGACAAAGCCTTGTCGAAACGTTGTACATTTGCTGTTATGTTGACTTATAT